TCTTGTGAAATCGGTAGAAGAAGATTTTCAGGAATTTCAATTGAATCCCTTATTTATCCACAATCTCTATTTATTCTAATATCACGTAATTAAATTTAATTAATCATTCTAGCCCACCACAAAATTAGACACTCCGATAGTAACATGTAAGGCTAATCACAACTCTCACAAAAACACAAATTTCTCACCAATTTATATATACTACGTATTTATTAAGTCAATTCAGTTTTTCTTGCAATCCACCACAATCCATAATTTTCGAAAGATTTTTTTTTACTAAAGCCCTACTTTTATTATTGTACATTATTTATTGCCAATTGTTTGTGAATACCTATCATTTTAAAAGTCAAACATTCAGATATATAAATAAAGAAATTTGGAGTATATTTTTAGTTCTTACTTCAGATCTATTATAAAAAAAATTGAAAGATGTAAAAATGATAACCATGATATCTTAATTTTAGCACTTGAATGTATTTAAGATAAATATTGGTTCTGAAAATCTTCAGCAGTTGAACCTCCGTGTATTTTGAAACTTGATATATTTTTGTAAAAATTGGAGTACAAATAAAATATTACGAAGTATAACACTTTTAAAAAAATGGATTTTAATTTTGGTTGGGCCCTGTAGCATTTCCTTCCTGCATATTGGTTGCAATAATTGAGTTCATATTCTTCTTGCAACCATCCATGCAGGGGTGGAGACAGGGAGGGGCTGGAGGGGGCCTCGGCCCCTGCAAGGGAAAAGATTCTTAAGTATATATTATGTATAAATACTTTTAATCTATAGAAAATGTGTTGATATTTTAAATTTTGGCCCCTGTAATGTAAACTTTTTAAGGGCCGGCCCCCTTAACGATAGATTTCTTGCTCCGCCACTGCATCCATGTTTAAGGTTTGCTACTTGTCTCTCTTAATAGTTGTTTTTAATATATAACTCAATGTTTTCATTCAAAATGATATAGATATATAGTTCATGTCTATCTTCACGCGATAATTGTAGCTAGATCATATCGGGATGCCCATAGTAATGGCAGGGCTATACATCTTTATTTTGGGCAAGAATATATATATATATATACTACGTATATAGAGTAAGAGCATAGTACAATTATCAAGACATGAAACTAAACCTGATGCTGAAGTTCTACCAATGAAAGATGTTATTGGTCACGTAAAACCATCCTAAATATATGTGCTAAAATTGATCGTGTTTAGAATATTGTGACACGTTTTAGCTAGGCATTTGGTTGTGTGATATCTGTAGATGTCTATGTCGGCTAAAATAGAGCGCTTACTACTAATTCATTGGTAGTGAAATACTATATTATCCCTAAACCGCTTACTCTTAAGGTAATAAGTTAAGGTAATAAGTTTTTGACAATGTATCTGTAGATGGTAGGAATATACTTGTACCTAGTACTCCATGAAGCATAAATTCGTTGAGGATTATACATCCTTGGGAGTTGGAGAAGAATTTTGTGTTGCCGTGAGTCTTAGGTTCCTGTACATTTCCACCATTTATAGTTAAATTGTCAAAAACATATTCCATTAACAAGCTTCACGTTAAGTGTGAGCAGTTTCTAGATAATACTATTTCGTTAGCAAAAAACTAATTGCAAATGCTCTATTTTAGCCTACATACACATCTACATCACATAACAAAACAACTAGCTAGATATGAGTTACAATCTTCTAAACACCATTAATTTTTGCATGCGTTTAGGATGATTGTACATAAAGAGTAGCTTCTTCCATTGATAGAACTTCAGCAACAGGTTGAACTTCATATATCGATGATAGAACTATGCTCTTCCTCTCTATATTCTTTCCTCAAAGGAAGAGCTATAGCCCCACAATTACTATGGGCATCCCGATCAACTACAATTATCACATGTAGATAGACATGAATTATGTACATATAGGTCTTGTTTGGTAATCGGCTGTTAGTTGTTAGTTGTTAGCTGGTTATGATAGCTGATTGACAATAGCTGGTTGTGTCAGCTGCTTTAGTTGGCTGATTATATTAGCTTGTTGTCAATAAATGTTTGGTAAATTAGCTTTTTAAGAATAGCTGTTTGCATGTAAAAAGACATATAAGTACTACGTATTACGATAAACATATAATAGTAGTCAATAGGTATAAATTATACTAAAATGAAAAGATAAATAAATAAAAAGTTGAGCTAAAAAGTACTCCGTACTTTTTAAGAAAATAATGGAATACGTAACTACCTAGCTAATCTATGAAATCCACATACTCCGTAATATATTAGGAGCATCGTAAAGATTGACATGAGTGTTTAGAAGGAGTATATTGTAAAATTTGAACAATCCAACATGAAACGCTGTCATGCCTAGCGTTTCCAACATTGGTTGTTTGGGATGAAGAAGTTGATACAAGAAGCTATTTACCAAACATATTGTTTAGCTGGTCAATCAGTCAAAGCAGCTAAACTTAGTCAAACAAGCCAAAAAATGTCTGATAAGCCATTTACCAAACATGGTCATACAGTTTTAAATGACAAGCATAAGTTATTGTACATAAAAAAAACTTATGTATAAAAAAAAGGTAGCTAACCTCCCAATATAAATACTTGCATGGAAGCATATGAACTCAATTATTGCAACAAGTATTATGGATATGAGATTATACACTGTCGCTCGCATAAGTCGGACTCCTTAGCAATGGTCCATGAATATAGGCACGATATTTTCAGAGTTGACAACACTGGCTAACCAATCATAACATCATATATAATCAATGTTCTAAAAGGCGTAAGGCGTGTCGAGGCGGCACGGCCAAGCCTTAAGCCTTTGAAGCCTAGACGGGCTTAGGCGGGACTTAGGCGTGAAAAGGCGTTTGTAATTTTTACTCTTTATTTTAATTTTTGTAGAGCTATTAGTAAGTATACAAATTTGATATGTGAATATCATGCAATAAATATCATATTTTGAATTTCTCGACAAAGAAGTTTTAAAATTCACATATGATAGAGATACTGATATAGATATTCATATAGCTACAAAGGCTGAAATATTGGTTGAATGATAAAAAAGGTTTTTTATAGCGATAAATATGATGATAAATTGAGTTTAAAAATTGAACAATAGTTAATATGATAAAAGAAATATGACTAATAGTTACTACTCCCTCCGTCCCTAAATTATCTTCAAACTTTCCTTTTTGGTCCGTCCCCAAATTATCTCCTCTTTCCCTTTTTGGCAAAGGATTTGTGGTTCACAACAATTCTTACACATTTCTCTCTCCTCTGCACAACTCTCCACCACACAAAACTCACTATCTTAATCCCCGTGCCGGGTCAAAAGGGGAGGTAAATTAGGGACGGAGGGAGTATAATGTAGTATCATGATAATTTAAGTTTAACAATTGAAAATAAGTTAGTATGATTCCATTACTACTCTAGCCACAAAAAAAACTCTAGTCACTAATCATATTTTTGTAAATAATCTTTATTTTAGTCATAAAAATGTGATTATTTCCTAAAGTTAGTACACTTAAAAATCACATTCTTTAAACCATTTTTTATTGGGTTTTTTACAAGAATATTACTAAAATAAAACATATTTACATAATTATGACTATTCATTACTACAATGTGGTGTTGTGGTAACTTAAGCTCAAAACTTAAATATGAATTACTATGATTTCATTACTACTCTAGTCACTAGTCATATTTTTGTAAATCGTCTTTATTTTGGTCATATTTATGTAATTATTTCTTTTTTATTTTTGTCATTAATATGTAAACATTTCTAATAATAACAACAACCACAACAAATAATAATAATATTATTATTATTGATGATGAAGAGAATAGATTGCAATTTATTATATAATATATGAGCAAGTTTAAAAGTTAGCAATTGCTGATTGCTATGATATCAAAGCGAATTGGTTCCATGTCTGCACCGCTACAGCATACTTCTTTCCCACACCGGTTGAAGTCAGCGTTCCTCATTCCATATCTCATTATAAATTAGAGCTCTTCTCGTATTTTCCATAGAGCGGTAGACATTAGTGCTATGGCCAGCTGCTAATGGGCTTCAAACTTAGTCAAATTTAAGGGTTGCTCATCTTTGGGCCGCCTTTCATCACGAATCGGAATGGTGCGGGGCGTTTAAGTGAAGCCTTGGGCTAAGGCCCGCCTAGGCGGCGCTTTTTAAAGCTTTTTAGAACACTGTATATAATATGTTACGAGTTTGTGTTTATCATTGCATCAGTCTCGCACTCTTTAACATAATCATAGTGAGAACCTATGTTTCCCGCATTTTAAAAACTCTAAATTTTTGGAAACTCTCCAAACAAATGTTTTTCTATTTAAAGATGATGTTTCTCATTTTCCATTTACCCATGTTTAATTTCCTACGTTTCTGGGGAAACATAGGCTAGAACACATGTGTATACACACATAAAAAGAGAGATTACGCTTAATGAATAAGGGGATGTGACCAGTTCCAAATTCCATCCTATTTCCCATGATTGCTTTGTTCTAGCGATGGGTGCACCAATAAATACAGGTATCAGAAAGGGAAATTAAGCATTCTATTGTGACAGTTTTGTATTTGCATGGATATGTCTTGAACAATTTGGCTATAGTAATTCACAATCAAAGTATTGAAAAATGGTTCGTTAAAAAATTCCCCTGAAATGCTTAGCTTGAATTTACCCCTGAAATGAAGCATGCACCATCACTCTCACAACTTAGAGCTAAAAAATTGTTCCTAGCTTCAAATGTGTTACCACTTCAATAGGAGCATGAAGTGAAGTGATGGTTGAGACATGAAATGTCTTCCCTTTGAAAAAACTCCATCATAGCTTTTTGTCCAAATCAAGTGCTTCAATGCTTTAAATTTTAGAAACGTGATGTGTAAAAAAATTAAAAAGGCAAACCAGAGTATTGTGTGTCATAAAAAACTATTCAATTAATATGATATCTCCATGTAACGAGTGTTCAAAAAAGGTAAAAATGTCAATTTCATGATCAAAAGTTAATCATTTTAATTTTTCTTGTAACTTAATGACACTCATGTTATGAGTCCTGAAACTTTAATAGTTACGGAACTAAATATGCAAGTGAGTGAAGTTAGAGAACTTAAATGGGCACAACAAAAAAATTATGAATAATTTACAATATTCCCAAAACAATATAAACATAATAGGCAAATAAAGTCAATTTTGACTATGAAGCAAACTGTTGTTTTACAACTAAATTTAGAGCAAATAAAGTAGATGTGTACTTCAAGGTAACATCATTGGGCTCGGAGGTCACCGAAGGACCAATGGTGGTGGCGGTCACTTACCCTCCCACAGCGTTGACCTCCACCGTCACCATCAGATCACAACTCACAAGTGGTCTAGCTTTCCTAGTGCCTCCTCCCAATGCTCTCCCATTCCTTCATCGCCGCCGGCTTCAACTGCTCTTTTGTCCTCAACTCTTGCTCCTCTGACATTGTCATCTACGACAATTTCCAACTTTGGGTCTTCTTGGCCGCCACATCACAAACCATTCCTGCAGTTTTGTTCCTCATCAGTAGATCAACCATGCATGTACTCTTACTTCTGCCATACTGGAATACCACACATGCCTACAAGGACGACACCTTGACACTATTCCCTTTCCTGAAGATCAATGTGACAAAGCACAAGATTGGGAGCCTCAAGATTCCGTGGGAGTTAGATTTGTTCTTCAAAGGGGATGATAGGTCTTGCAAGGTTATTTCAGTCAACAGATCCGACGAGATTGATGGGTACCATCAGGTACTACTAGAACTATTTTGTCAAACGTAGGTCTCATATCCAAAACTAATCCAACAGTTTCAAAAACGGAAAATAAAGCGTTTAAGTTTTATTTGCATTTTATTTTAATGATATAGTGCCTACAAATACTAAAGATGAAATGTACTTTAATAATGTACTTTTTACATTTAATAAAAATAATCTTTTTTTAGTTAAAGTCTCGCTTTCGTCAAATAAAAAAAGTTACAATTTCGCTATAATCATTTCAAGTTGAAAGGGGTTACTCTTAGGGGTGGACTCGGGCCGGGCCAACCGGCCCGGAACCGGACCGGCCCGCTACTGTGCGGGCCCGGACCGGCCCGGTCACCCGGTTCTTGACCGGTTCGGGCCACCCGGCCCGGTTGTATAGCGGTCCGGGCCCGGGCCTCCATTTTAATGAACCGGCCCGGCCGGGCCGGGCCCGGTTCGGGCCTCCAACGGCCAGATTTTTAAAAAAAAAAATTTTTTTTTTTAAATTGGAAGAGGCTCTCCTAGCCGTTGGGAAGGCTCCCAAACGGCTCTATAGCCGTTGGGAGCATAGGAGGGGGGGGTCTGGGGGGTTAGGGGGGTGGGGTGGGGGGTGGGGGTGGGGTATAAAAAAAAAATCTATTTAAACTCCTATTTTCTCTACATTTTTTACATCTCTTCTTCTACAACTCTTCCTACTCTCTAATTCTCTACTCTAAATCTCTCATATTCAATCATCTTCATTCTTCATCTTCTCCAAATTCTTTCTACATATATATAATTTATATAATTATTATATCTACTTATATATTAATTATCTATTTAAAAATATATACTTATACACATTCATATTATAATTCTTTACACATTATATATACTATATAAGTATATATACTATACACATTCATATTCACTTGATATTTAGTTATTATCCATACTATTGTTATTTACTTATATTTACATATTACATTTAGTTAATATATACTTATATATATATATATATATTAAAGTATTAAGTATAAGTGTATTACTCATCTTATAGTAATATACTTATATATTATATACTATAAACATTATATATACTATATATACTTATACACATTCATATTTATTTGATATTTAGTTTTTATACATACTATTGTTATTTACTTATATTTACATATTACATTTAGTTAATATATACTTATATATATATATATATATTAAAGTATTAAGTATAAGTGTATTACTCATCTTATAGTAATATACTTATATATTATATACTATAAACATTATATTATATATTACTTATAATAGTAGTTAATTGTTAGACTTCTAATTTATCTATTAAATATTATTACTAGTTTATTATTACTATTGTACTCATATAAAATATTTGATATCATTTAATATTTGTTCAATTTTAAAGATGGAACGTGGTAGACATTCTGTAGATGTGGGTAATCTCCAACGCAACCGCAAGAGGGAGATTGCGTCGACTCGTCCTAATTCACGCAAAGGCAAAGGTAAAGCGCGGGCCGAGTCTTCTTTTCAAAGTCGAGATGATTTTGAAACGGATTACCAACGGAGAGATGATATGATGATGTCCGACGAGCATCTACAAAACCTATTGTCCCAAAACGATCCACGCTTTGCACAAGAACAACCCATCCCGACAACCATTGATGAAGAGGAGCTCGAGGATGACGATGCGGAGGAGGACGCGGGGGGCGACGGGACTCACGGCACCCCGGATGATGAGCAAGACTTGGAGGACGAGGGCGGTTCAACCCAAACTGGTAAGAAATCTAAATCTCCTATTATTGAAAACAATTTTACAAAAAGGAAAGACAAAAATACCGAAAAATGGTACGCAAGTTGCAATCATTGCGGCAAAGAGTATAGCTTGGGAACTTCTGGCGGATACGGGAGTCTCACAAGGCATCTTAAATCCGCCCATCTTGTGGAGTATGCGAAAATAGACAAGGGCAAGGGGAAGCAAACACAAATATCGAGGTTTGCAAATTCTCAACCCTTTGGTAATTTCTCCTATGATGATCAAAAACATTTGACTGGTATGTCTCATTTAATTGTTGAAGAAAATTTACCCTATATTTTTTCCGAAAGTCTTGCTTTAAGAGATTATGCTCAAGGCACTTTAAATCCTCAATTTAGAAATTATAGTCGCAAAACGATTAAAAAAGAAGTTATAAGGCAATATAACTTCGAAAAAGAAAATTTACAAACATTTTTCGCAAACTTTAATGGACGTGTTAGTATTTGTAGCGATATATGGGAGGATACTTATCATCATTTATATTATTTGGGTCTTACTGCACATTATATTGATGATGATTGGAATATGCATAAACGTGTTCTTGCATTTCGTGAATTCAATGATCGTCATACTGCTGATAATATTTATATTCTCATTGAGCGTATTTTAATTGAGTATAATTTGCTTGATAAGGTGTTTGCTGTAGGTTTTGATAATGCTAGTAATAATACTGCTGCTATACCTAGATTGCGTGAATTGTGTGGTGCTTCTACATTGATGGGTAGGTTTTTTCATCAACGTTGTGCATGTCATATTCTAAATTTGTGTGTACAAGATGGATTAGCGGCATTAGGAAATGCTTTGGAGGTAGTGAAGGGGGGAATTAAATTGATTTGGGCTAACACTCCACTAAAAATGCAATGGCGACAATATTTGAAGGAAAGACGTGTCAATTATTGTGCTTTTCCTAAAGATTTGTCTATTCGTTGGAATAGTACTTATAACTTAATTCAAGTACTTATTAGATATAAAGAACATTTTCCTGCTTTTTTAAGACAAACTTGTAACTATATTATAAACCCGGCTGACATCGACACTTGTGAAAAAATTGTTAATGTTTTGGTATATTTTAATAACGCAACTCAAACTTTTAGTCATGTTTATAAACCTACCGCAAACGAATTTTTTGTTGAAGCTGTTAATCTCGCCGGCGCATTTTTAGAATTTTCCGATGCCGCTTACGTTAGTTATTTTTGTGATTTCATGAAACAAAAATTTTTAAAATATTATTCACATGTTCCGCATATATATGGTATTGCATTTGTTCTTGATCCTCGTTATAGACTTGCCGCGTTGCCAAGTTGTATAGATTACTATTATAATTGTTTTTTTCCAACTCAAGAGTTCGATGATAATCCCATCGACCCTAAACAAGAATACAACGAGGTTAGTAATTTATTTCATCAATTGTATAATGAATTTTATGCACAATATGGTAATGCACCGAACAAAGGACAATGAAAGAACGTTCCCGGTTTTATCAAAACTGGCTAAGCAAGTGCTAGCAATGCCGATATCAACAGTTGCCGTGGAACAAGAATTTAGTGCGACCGGCAACGTCCTAACTGATTATAGAACGAGGTTGAGCCCGAGCTCTCTTGAGACGCTAGTTTGCTTCCATGATTGGTTGAAGGCCAAACGAAGAACTCAAGAAATGACCATCGCTCCCACCCGCCACTTTATGGAGGAAACAACCACCGAAGGCGGAGATTCCGATTGATTTTTTATTTCAAAATGTATTACATATTTTAAATGCATCCTAATTCTCAATTGTACTTTCTTATTTGAAATAAATATACTTGAATTATTTTATATTATTGTGTACATCAATTCAATAATTCAATTCAATAAAATTCATTTGTAAACTTGTACTTCATAATTCATATGTAGCACTTCTCAAATTAATTAATTGGTTACAATTTTACAAACTTATAACTTACAACTTGAAATTATTTTTGTAAAATCTAAAGGCTGTTTTTAAATTAAAATATGTAATATTAATATGTAAATTAATTAATTTGTTACAAACTTACAAGTTACAACTTATACACCTATTTTGTAACATTTGTAAATTATAAATCAAATCACTTTTCTAAGTAAAAATAGTTTTACTTAATTAAAAAATTAAAAACATTTTCCTTACACAATATGTATAATTTTCTAAATCATATCACTTTCCTTACACTTTTCTAAATCAAATCACTTTTCTCAAATGTACTTCCTATTTATTCGAAAATGTATTTCATATTGTTATTTTTTCCTCAATTCTCAAATGTACTTCCTATTTCAAATAAATGCACTTGAATTTTGTTTTTCATAACAATTATTATAATTATATAGTATAGAATATAAAAAAAAAATGAAAAGGACCGACCCGAACCGGGCCCGGCCCGTGAACCGGGCGGGCCACCCGGCCCGAACCGGACCCGGGGTTACCCGGGCCGGTTCCGGGCCTCCCAAACCGTGAACCGAGGCCCGGCCGGTTCAAGGCCCGAACCGGGCCCGGCCCGAACCGAGTCCATGCCTAGTTACTCTATGCTTCACATGCAGATTTGGAACTACACATTGTTGCGGAATGGACCAAAAGAGCCATTGAAAGAAACACAGCACTAGTATAGATGTGCAGCCAAATGACCGAGTACATAAATCAGTGTCCATATGGCAGACAAGCGGACTAGGTAGCCATAGTTTTGGCCTGGTCAAGCTTATCCCTTATTGCTTCCCAAAATGCAGGCATGGCTATATCGTCAGGGACTTCTTTGAAAGAAGGCAGGTAGTTTACATCCACGATGACGTGGTCACCTGTGCCATCCTGAATCACGACATCAAAGCCTAAGATTGTGAGGTCTAACGTACTCCGGAGCCAATTAGCAGCATCGGTCACAAGTTGAAGATTGATAACTTTATTAGTACCACAACTCTTAGACTTGATATCTCCAGATTGTGTGTTCTCTTTATCCATAGGCAGAGATTGTAAGCTGTCAAACAACAATGGCTTTAACTCATTTCCCTCAGATAGTTTCATCAAGGTGTCTCCATTAGGTGTAGACTTCTTAATTGCATAAAAAACCTTCTTCCCCACAACATAGAATTTATACAAAGTAGATGAATGATCCACATATTCCTGCACAACAACTGGAAGAGGAATATTGAGGTCTTTGAAGTCATCTACTTTAAATACAATGGCCATATGATGAGCATCTGCCACACCACAAGCAACTTGAGGTTTAACAATAGTTGGAAGGCTCAACTTAGCCTCCACTAATCTCTTTTCCAACTGGGACTCACCAAAGCAACTTAACTTGAGAAAATGGGGACCCCTGATTTTTGATTGGCCTTCTGAATTAAGGTTTTCCAGACCAAGAAGAAGTTGTTGGATTTTCAGCCGATCCAATATAGAGTATATGTTACTACATGGATCAATCACGGGGCAGTTAATTTGTTCAGTCCACCTTAGCAATTCTTGCATGCCCTTTGTGAACAATATTCTATTTGTAAATTCTGAAGAACTGTTCATTTCTGCTGATACAATCTCATCAGTTGCTTTAAGGAGAAGCCCATCAATGTTTTCAACTTGAGATGATATGGGTAGCTCATAAGTAATGGGCACGAAAATCAACCCGTTCTGTGTAGGATTCCAGGGGAATGCACCTCTCTTGGCAAAATCTTCTCCACGTGAAGGCTTCATCAAATAACCAACTATCAGAACATCCTTTCCCATTGACTTTTTGTTGAAAAGGCAGATGATGAAGGGAACCTCTTCAACTTTGTTAATAAAAATTGTGCGTGGAATTTTGCTTGTACTAGCAAATATGATATCATCTTTTGATTCTTGGCCAGGATGTCGAAGAATGACCGTTATCCATTTAGTACTATCCAGTCCTAGAAAGGGGTCCTTTTTATAATCAGAAACTATGTACATAAAACTTCCTTCTTTGTCACCCCACGCCATAGAAACCTCATGCACCAAGTCAGCAGCTTTGCCGGATCTCAAGAAGAAAGAATCAAAGGAATATAATTTCACTTTATCTTGAAGAAGGTTCACCTCAGCTGTGGATAGGCCTTCTTCATAAGATATTCCAGCGGGAACTTTGGAGTGCCGCAACCCACGAAGCAGATATTCTGCTCCCGGAAGAAGAGAAGTGGGTGATCCACTGTGGCCGCCGCCCACGGAGACACCCAGCAGTATAGAGGCGTCTAACACAACTCCCTTTACTCCTCCCATCCTCTGCAATTATGGGATAAGTTGATAATAATCCCAACTCCTTAATCACTTCACAAAAATGAACCAGTGACCAATGGTGTTAACTTTTTCATTATCTTTTTGCATGTTCTACGAATAGCAAAAAATACATAGCATTACCAAATACACATCAAGTTCCCTTACTAAAAATAACTTATCTTGTAATCTTCTATTTCATATCAATATTTTAATCATATTCAATCTTGTTTACTTTTCTCATTACAATTAATAGACATTATATTTCAATGTAGTTTTAGTAATACTATATAAATTAAATATTAATTGGTAGTATATGATAATTATTTTTAACTTAGTCAAATATTACAATTTTATACGGAGTATATTTTATTATTTGGAATGAATGTGATACTAATGTATTATAAAATTTATTTAATGTTTATGTAAGGCATTTCTAATGCATTTCTGTTCGACAGGTTCTAATATCTTGGTGGCCGGAGGCAGGATCGAATACCATTTTGTATGTTTTCAAACATAATTTGCCTGGAATCATCACCGGGCACATCTGGAATTTCTATTCCAAAATGGTTTGGGGAGAGTTGGATAAACCTCCATCTCCAGGTATTAGTGTTCAACACATCGGCTATACTCTCAGGATTGGTCAGCTACTATGGGGAAAATGAAGACTCATAGGGGCTATTCTATTCTGATGGAAGAAGCACTAATTTCTAAGAATTTTCAGATTGAAAGACCAAGGATTAAGATTGTGAGATGGAACTTACCGGTTTGGTTAAAGCTTAATGTTGATGATTCCTTTTCTCGAGACGGTGCGGCAGGTGGAGCGGTGATGCGGCCTCAATTCGGAAAGCTGATCTTTGCTCTGAACTTTATTGTTATGGCGAGATCTGTAGCAGAAACGGAAATGGATGATCTTCATAGATCGGCCTCATGGTCGATTGAGAGGGGTTTTAGAGATTTTGGGGAAATGACAAAAATACGGGAAGTTTGGGTCTGACATACAAAAACACGGGACTTGCTTTTATGGGATGAAAAAGGGGATTCGAAACTGCCACTTCCAACTAAATCATGGTTGTAAAAAATAAATAAAAAGATGCTTTTTTTATACTTGTAGTTAATTAATAAAAAGATGTTTTCGGAATCTGCAATTCCGAAAAAATCTATTGGTGCACATTTTTCATACACACACCTACACACGCATGTTTGTGAAGAGTATTTTTTTGTCTGTATACAGACATATCGAATTTTCAAAAACGCTATGTCTGTGTGAAAACAAAAAAATACTCTTCACAAACATGAGTGTGTAGGTGTGTATGAAAATATGTACCTCAAGCTCGATTGTAATAAAAAGTAGTAGTTATTAGAAACCGTTTGATAACACCTAAATTTCTGCTCAAATTTATAAAGTTCCGGGTGAAGCGGCTGTATTGGCTGATTCTGCTGATTTATGAAAAATTTGTATTTAAAATATATTTTTAATAAAATAAATAAAAAATTATATGAAAAAAACATATAAAATGGTCATCTACAGTAACATCACTCAATACAACCAGAAAAGTAACCTGAACCTTATTTTTTCTTATTATTACACAATTCAGCACACAGAATTAAAATTTACGTATTTGGTGAAAAAAATTGATTGATAAGCTTGATAAGCCGAAAAACAGGGTACCAAACGCCCTCTTATTTTAAATAAAGCCCCAACTGGTCAGGGATATAGTTTTGATAAAAGAAATAAGTTTGTTACTCTCCCCGCTTGATGAGACTGTCAAACTTGATGTCACTCTGGCTAAAAATAATGCTTTTTACTTCAAAAGGGCCGAGGAGGACTTTTTTAGACAAAAAGCTAATGCTAATCACTTATTCCAAAGTGACCGGTGCACCAAGTATTTTCATTCTATTGTTAGAAAGAATGTGGCTAAGAATTCCATTACGTCTATTAAGTTGGCTAATGGGGATTCCACCACCACCCTCAACCACGTTGCTTGTGAGTTTGTTAGCTTCTACACTAACCTCTTTGGTACTTCCTAGTCCAAATGAGGACATTGATCCTAACATCATGCTTTCTGGAAAATGCTTGAATAATACAAAGGCTCTCGAGCTCTTGACACCTGTTTCTGACATTGAATAAAGAATGCTATCTTTGATATTGGAGATAACAAGGCTCCTGGGCCGGATGGCTATACCTCGACTTTCTTTAAGCATAATTGGACTATAGTTGGGCATCATGTCACCTTGGTTGTGAGGGGTTTTTTAACTATGGGAAACTCTTGAAGCAACTTAACCATACAGTTATTGCTCTTATCCCTAAGACCTCTCATAATCCTACTGCCGCGTTTTTAGGCCTATTGCTTACACTAATGTCATTTACAAAACAATTACTAAGATCATTGCTACTAGAATGATCCCTTGTTTACCTGACCTTATTGACCCCTCTCAAGGGGCTTTTATTGATGGGAGGGAGACATATGCTTGACAATGTCTTGGTGGCCCAAGAGCTTATCAAGGGTTATTCTAGAAAGCATGTGTCTCCTAGATCTATGATCAAGGTGGATCTTAGAAAAGCTTATGATACTATTTCTTGGGATTTCTTGGATAAGATCATGCGAGCTATTGGCTTCCCAACTAGATTTGTTAAATGGATTATGGAATGTGTTGCTACACCTTCCTTTTCCATCTCCATTAATGGAATACTTCATGGAAACATCAAAGGAAAGAGGGGGCTTCAACAGTGTGACCCCATGTCCCCCCTCCTTTTTGTTATTTGCCTTGAGTACTTCTCCAGACTCCTCCATAATAGAACTAAGGTTCCCGCTTTTAAGTTCCACCCCAAGTGTGGTAAACTTAATATCTCTCATGTTGCTTATGTTGACGATCTTGTGCTCTTTTCTAGAGGTGATTTTCCCTCTATTAAAGTCCTTATTGATGCTTTAGATGAGTTTGGGAATGTTTACGGCCTTAAAGTTAACTTTGACAAGTCTAACATTTTTCTTGGGGGCTTGGCCGAACATGAACTTACATATATCTTTAATATGATCGAATTCAAGTAGGGGACTTTCCTCGTGAGATATCTGGGCATTCCTTTGGTCCCTCTTAAGATTGTCGTGGCTCAATATGCTCCGTTGTGGGATATCCATACAAAAAAGGATAACCTTTGAGTTAGATGGATACATGGGGTCTACCTTAATGGTAGAGGTATTTGGGAATTTACACCTCATAAAAGAGACTCCCGACTTACCAAAAAGATTGCTCGGATTAGAGATCAAATCTTGTCTTACTTTGACAACTCCCATGATGCCATTAACTATCTCAATGGTTGCCAAACTAAGGGCAAGCTTTCCTCGGCCAAGATTTACAATCTTCTCAGAATTAAAGGGGGAACTCACATGTGGATGTCGTTCATTTGAAAAAACTATACCCCTCCTAAATTCTCCTTTATGGTTTGGTTAGCTTTTCGTAACCGGCTTGCTACTTTGGATAACCTACATAGATTAGATGTTGTTAATATTTGCCCTTTTGTAAGGGTGGGTCGGAAACGGTACCACACCTATTTTTTGCTTGTTCTTTTTCAGGAAAGGTGTGGCATAAAGTGAAGACTTGGCTGGACATTCCGAGGGAGATGGGGACCTTCCATAGCTCGTTGAAATGGATCAAGAGGGAGAGACAAGGCTCGGGGATCAAAGCTAAGACGGCCAGGATTGCTTCTTGCAATTCCATCTATTTGATTTGGAGGACCCGAAATGCCACTTGCTTTGATGGCTTCACTCCTAAAGAAGAAGATGTTTTTGTTAGGATCCAATATATTGTTTACAAAATCCTGTATAGCCTCTACCCTCATGAACTTGTAAAATTTTAAGGTGTTTTTTGCTTGACCATCACTGTTGGTGATTGGTCGTTACTTGTGGGCGGGCTTTGTGTTTGTTTTTATGCTTCACCATCACCTTGTTTGGTGTTTGGCTGTTGCTTTAGAGCTTTGTGGTGTTTGGGGTAAGGTTTATCCATGTTGGATAACCTGCTTTTTTGTTTCTCTTTTGTAACCTGTACATTCTGAACCCCTGTTTCTTGGGTGTCTTTTATATATACTTACATTTCACCCAAAAAAAGATAAAAGAAAAAGAGTTAAATCCATAACTCTGTTGCAATCTGAAAAAATTAACACGTGGAAAAGGCCTTTTCCAACGTATAAGTTGCTCTATGAGAAAATTGTCCAATATAGGCATTGTTTGGTAAATGGTTGTTAGCTGTTGTTGTTAGCTGGTTGTGTCAGTTGTTAGGGTAACAGCTGGATGTGTTAGCTGTTTTGACTGGCTGGTTATGTTAGCTGATTATAAATAACTATTTGGTAAAATTGGTTGTTTCGAAATGGCTGATAGTGTAAAAAGACATATAAAGACATAATAATACTCATTGCATTTTATTGTTGCTAAGAATGAAAATTTTATAGCTATTGTTACTTCAACGATATAAATCATTTTTATAACTGGAAATTTTAAAATTTGTTGAATAAAATCTATTTTAATGTCTACTTTGATATATCGAATGTTCATCATACTATAAAATTTGTAGTGTCTAATTTTATAATACTCAATCATCTAAACCAGAAATATCAAATTAATTCAAGATATAGAGCATAACTAATAATATAAAATATTAGTTAAGCATATATTATTTGTCTAGATAGTACTACGTATTTGATTAAACAAGTTTTGCTTAAAATAATTAGAGTAATTATTAGTATATATTACTTAAATGATTAATTTAAAAAATGCTAAGTCAAAACAATGAAAGTAAAAGGAGTGAAAAGAAGAAAAACTGGTAAGCAAAATAATTGGGTTGACTGAGTTAAAAAAAAACGAGCAAAACCACAATGGGAATATATTGGAGCTATGCAGTCACTTTGGGAGCTCGAGCTATACCCTTATGGGAATAAATTGAACCAGCCGAATGAAGAAGCTGCTCCCTTAGCTTCTTCTATCATCCATTTTTTCAGATTTTCAAACTTAACAAGTTAATTTTAAAAGCCATTTTCCAAACATTATTATTAACTTCTTTGACTAATCAAACAGCTGAAATGAGTCAAACAAGCTAAAAGTTCAACCTTTTTTTCAAAATAGGACTACATGCATGTTTTTCCCTAAATAGGACTAACCTTACATTTTTTACCCCTAATTCTATTTAATTAATTGATCTAAATAATTGCCCCCCAGTTTCCTTGCACCACCAAGGTAGTCCGTCGGTGACGGGACAGCCTGTAGTGGCGGTAGCACTCCAGCAGCCAGTCGGCGGCGGCGAGCTCCCGAAATTAATTAACCCAATTAATTGCCCCCCTAGTTCTCCTGCACAACCAAGGCAGTCCGTTGGTAGCGCGGTAGTCTGGTGGTGGCGGCAGCAGAATCTGGCGACGGCGGTCCAGCGGCGGCAGGCAACAGTATAGTGGCAACAATGGGGGTATTTTGGTCCAATCACTAATAAAAAGGCCTATTTAAGGATGTTTAAACTAGGTGCTCCTATTTTGGGGGAAAAGCCATGTTTTGGTCTCATTAAGGTAAATCTCATTTGTTCTACTGGTCTCATCTAAATGTTGGTTTCTGAATTTTTTAAAATCCGATCTGAATTTTCCTGATTTGATCTGATTTGAACTTTTCTCACCTAATCTAATATGATCTAAATTTTTCTGATCCGATCTGAATCTCTTTTATTTGATCTGAATTTTTCAGATCTGATCTGAATCCTTTTGATCGGATTTGAATCTTTCTACTCAGATAAAATTTATTAGATGTTTGAATGACTAATGGACTTCTAGTAAAACAAAAATTAATCAGATAAAATTTAATCAAATAAAATTTAGGAATATTTGGGCTTATCCACAACTTTAAGTAGATAGAGTTTAATTAATGTCACAAATTTAGATAAATAAAATGTATAGTCTATTCGTTTAACAAGAAAGGAAAAAGTTATCTTAAAAATATGCTTTACATTTAATGTTATTGAAAAATACCTCCATTCACATGTGTTCCTGCGGTTAATAAAATGC